CCTGAAACGCAGAGAAAGCTTTCAACCAAATGCAAAAAAAAAAAAAGACGCCAGATCTCTGGCAGTCATTATTCACTCCCCTAACTAGCATGTTTGGATTTAAAGGGCGGGTCTGGGCTTTCCTACTTACAGACTGCTTTGTTGACTAATCCAAGAAAGGATACATGGTTTAATTTAATTGCCTCTTGCTGGGTCTACTAATTGAATAGCTCCTCGTTTTAAAAGACTGCTGGACATTTAATAATGGAAAGCCTGCCAAGTCTATGTGTTACAAATATAAGTAGAGCAGCGCACAGGGCTCAGATACAAGGCAGGGCCAAGAAAGCAATGTACACAATGACTACGAGAATGTAAACGGAAAGAACAATGACCACAAAACATCGGAAAATGGCACATGGCTGAGCCCAGACACCCACCTGCACCACTTCCTTGGCACAGGGGGAGGGCGAAGGAGGAGCAGTGTCCAGGGGTGTGGAACATGGCACTGATTGGATTTTTTTCAATGTACTGTTCAGTTTTGGCCATTTTTTTTCTTTTCTCCTATTCTTTTCAAAAAAAAATCTTTGCTATAAAGAATAGTTTTCTAGGATGGGGAAGACAGAAAGAGAGATGGAGGACGTCTAGAGGATGTAAAAGCAAAAGGTATCAATAAAAATCCAAAAAGCACAGCATAAATTGAATTCCTAGAAAGCAAATCCTATTTTTTCACTAATTTACAGAATAATATCAAAAATACATTGAAAAGGCCACACAACCACTGCTCGCTCCCCCCTACAAATCAATATTCAGTCGATGAGCACCAGCCACACTGGTCAATATCCTAAATAAATTCTGATTCTCATTTATCGACGTTCATTGTAATCAACAGATACCCTGGAGATTTCATTTTGCATTTTTCCCACTAGTGACAGGGGCACACACACACATAGAGAGAGGTTCAGTGAAAATTCTCAAGGAAGACTCTGAGATGTTTTTCAGGTTTCTAACAAGAAACTTCCATGACAGAATGTAAGGTCCCTGAGAGCAAACACTTGTGCATTGCCACGGCCTAGCATAGTGCTTTTGCCCCATTAAATGCCTCATTAAGGCAGAGAGGTGGGCATCATGAAGACAAAGCCCGACCTGTGCTGCTGAGCTCCGTCCACTGTTTCAATTTCTCATAAGGAAGAGCTCGGCATTGGGGATGGAAGTACGAAGGAGAGAGAACTCTTATAATGGCCAGATGGAGGATGGACCAGAGTGGGGAGAGAGTCAAGGAAAGCGGACCTCCTCCCACCAGCAGCTATTGCCACAGTCGAGGCATGAGGCAATGAGGGTCTGAACCAGGACGGGAGCCATGTCAGAAGAGAGAAGGGGGCATTTTCAGAGATGCTGCTGAGGTGAAATCTACAAGCCTTGGCACCATATTGGATATGGGAAGTGAGAGATAGTGAGGAGTCCAGGATGATGCCTGGGTAGGGAGCCTGAGGGACTGAGAGGATAGTGGTACCCTCTACAGTAACAGAGAAGGTAGGAGGGGGAAGGTAAGGATTTGGGAGAAAGATAATGAGTTAAGTTTTAGATATATTGAGTTTAAGGTGTCTATGGGAAATCTGGCATCCAATAGGCAGTTGGAGATGCAAGACTGGAGGTTGGGACAGAGGTTAGGGCTGGATAAACAGATCTGTGAAGCTTCTACAGAGATAGTGAAATGGAAGCTGATGAGTTCACCAAGCAAAACGGTATAAAGAAGAGAAGGCCCAGAAAGGAACCCAACACACTCCTGGGCTAGTTTGATCATCATAATTATCCAGAGTTAAGTTTTGTTTTGTCCTTTCCAATGACGTCAAAAATGCATATGTTGCTCTAATTTAGATGATGTCACTCATCATTGCAACAGTGCACTGTTTCACAATCATCTTTTTACAGAAATTATGAAGATGATATGATGTCTAAACATTTTCAGAGCCACATTCCAAGTATAATTGTTTTTTAAAATGGAGGCAATCTGAACATCCAACAAGACCTTGACAACAAGGTCAAACAAGTTGTGGCACATGAATACAATGGAATACTTTGATGCAATTAAGACTGAGGCAAGATGACCGCTTGCCTGGGATGCTGAAGTAAGGATCCATTTTGGGCATGGGTTGGGCTACATCAGGGTTGCTTAAACCTGAGGTCCATGAACTTTCTTTTTCTTATCTTGATAACTGGATGTCCATATCATTGGATTCTTTGCAACTCTATTTTATTCATTTAAAAACTTTTTTTTTTGAGAAAAGGTTCAGAGCCTCCATCAGATTGCCAAAGTGGTCCATGGCACAAATGTGATTAAGAATCCTTGGACTAGATGGCGGCCGGGTCCTTTCCTACTCCAAGGTTCTGGGATTCTGACCCAGCTGCTGATCTCAAGTCCACAGAGAAACTGCTTAGGATCAAGAGCGAGAGCCTTCGCACAGCTGGATGCAAAAGCCAACAGGAAACCAGCCTTCACTTTCCACACATGCAGTCTCCTTGCACATAGCAAGTCCTCAGTAAAGGCTAGCTGAACTGAATTACAGACACTGGGCACGCTTTGCCAAATGAATGCGATTTCAAAAGAAAAAAATTTTACTTCATTCTGAAAGACGTTTTTCAACATGAAGGGCCACCAATGCATACGGGGGAGAGATGAGCTGCAAAGTCCCGAGAAGAGTTCAGAAACCGAATCAGACCAGCCGAGAGGTCTTCTAATGAATTGTCCTGACACACCTGAGGCTCGAGAGCCAGCAGAATCACAAGCTTTGGTGCACTTGTTTTTTATTCCAGATACTAAGCCAGGGGAACAAGGAATCACTGAAATGGGAAAGTTGGCTCATTTCCTCTCCCAAATCCTGCTACAAGCCTCAGGCTCACGCTTTTGAACTCCAGTTGAAAGGGGCACCTCTCCGAGGCAACAGCCACAGGGCAGAATCAGTCACAAAATCTGTGAGCGGGAAGGGACCTGAACAGCTCTCTAGTCCAGTCCAAAGTGGACAACACTCCTGACGCGTGGCCATCCGACCTCTACCAGGATACCTCCGGGGAAGGGGGCCAGCCCCCTCACTAGCCCATTTCACTGCTGGACAGCGCTTGTGGCTGCAAAGGTTTTCCCGCCATCAAACCAAAATTCGCCTTTGTAACTTCCACTGGGGTCCTCTGGGGCCTGAGAGAAAAAAGGCCTTTCAAATCCTTCAAGCCAGCTATGAAGGGCTAGCTCTCCCTAGCCCTTCTTCTTTTTTCATATTTCTCTTTATACAGCACTATGTAAAAATATAACACTCTCTCAGTGGAAGGTCAACTTCTGGAGGGTAGAACACTTTCATTTGGAGGGCTCTGTGTCCTAGAACACAGCAAAAGCTTAATAAATACTTATTGGATTGACTTAAAAACACACTGATAATAGTGGTTTTGACCACAGAGGCTCGTTTAGAAATTTATTATAAAAAGGATATGAAGAGCACTATAATATTTCCATTTTTTCCAGGCTACATCATCAAAAAGAAAATAAGTATTATCATCTGTTTAAGAGTAGAACAAAAGGTAGAAAGCATTACACACTGTGGGATGCAGAGGAAAGAATGACAGTGTTGAAAACCGGGAGGCTGGGGTTGGACTCCCCGCACTTCCTAACTGTCTGATCAAATCACTTCAGTTTCCTGCATCGGTGCCCTCATCTGTAAAATGGGAATAATAACTCCTCTCTAGGTGACATGAAGGAACAAACAAATGAATGAAAAAGCAATTATTAGGCACTTAGTATGTACAAAACACCGCGTGAAGTGCTGGGAGTACAAGGCGAAAAGCAAGAGTCTACATACAGCAGTAACAGCTTCCAAAATGAATCCACAAAATGTAAATGTATAGCCTATACCAGATTGTGCACCATCTTGGGGAGGGTGGTGGGGAGGGAGAGAAAAATTAAACTCAAAAGCATATGGAAATGATTATTGATGAATCAAAATAAATTAATAAAAAATTTTTTAAAAATAGATGAAAAAAATGAATCCACAAAACCTTGCCACAGTAAACCACATGCACACATACACACACTCCCACACTCCTACACACCCACATACACGTGCGCACACATACACACACCCTGAGTGTCGGCCACCAGTTATCACCAGGAGGAGCCAGGGAAAGAAATGCTGAGAGAATTCACATTCCTTCCCTACAAACATCCAATTGATATTATTAATGCAAACAATTTCTAGATTGAATCACAATTCCCATTTTAGTTATCAGTTGTCAATCATCTGGAGAGGGCTGGGCACCTACAACCCCAGCCCCGCCCACGGCCCAGGTCAACAATAGTACGTTTAAGCTTGCAGGAGGGAGGACAGCAGAGAGAGACTGAAGAATGAGCCATGGGTACCTAGGACCAATCCTCTCTGATTCTGAAATACAGACATCAGACTGAAAGAAAGACCGCCCCACCCCCCACAAGCCAAAAAGGAGTTTTGGATAAGCCGCTGTTTCTGCACGATCTGCTTTTCTTACCTCCCCCCTCCCCCACCCTCCCTTCACACCATGAGCTGAGGTCATTTCACCGACTGTCCTTCTAGAGGTCAACACCTTGGAGGCCACCAGGTCTAACCTGTCCATGAACAAAAATCCCCGTTCAGCCAGGGGCCATGAAGCATGGTGAGCACATGCATCAGATGATGGCCTGAGTGGTCACATACTCCAACCCTCCCATTTTGCAGCAGAGGAAACTGAGGCCCAGAACAAAGTGATTGTCCTTCTCCTCCCCCTCCTGTTTTTACTGCGTGGCTCTGTACACACGACATGAAAGTTAAGGCTGATCACAAGTCATTCGCAAAATGAGACAGGAAACAAATTTCAATATTAAAGGTTTTTCTTTCCTAAGGGCCAGGATTTCTATCCATATGTGACTGAGTGTCCCAATCAATCCACAGGAGAGGGTCTCCCAGAAGCAGCCAGAGGCTAGTCCCCCAAACGTGGAGCCCTGACCATGGCATGAGGGGATGGCCTACCTCGCGGACGTCATGGAGCTGGGCGGAATAGTGACTCTTTGATCTTCGGGCAGCAGCGGGTGACTTGTGGTGGGTGACGGTGACCACCGTGGGGGGCGCGGGGGTGAGATGTCTCTGGCTACTGGGGGATGACGAATTAGATGTTCCGTGGGGGAGCAAAGTCAGGCTTCGGCTCCGTGAGCTTGGAGGGCTCTAGAATAAGTAGAATAGAAATCTTTTAAGAGACTGGCACAAGAGGGCAGGACACAGCTCCCAAGCACCTGGAGGGACGTGTTTTGACTTGGTGTGGGGGTACAAGCATATATGGGTGTGGGAGTGAACAGGGAGGGAGATGATGAGTGGGAGCTACTCTAATCTCTTTAACAACTCAAAGTGAGTGAACCAGCCTACATATGAATTAACATCTGGGCAGCTAGTTGTTGAAGTGGATAGAGCCCTGCATTTTCAATCAGGAAGTTCAGAGTTCAAATCCTGTTTCAGACACTGACTAGCAGTGTGACCCTGGGCAAGTCACTTAACCTCTGTCTGCCTAAGTTCCCTCATCTATAAAATGGGGATAATAACAGCACCTACCTCCCAGGGCTGTTGTGAAAATCAAATAAGATAACATTTTAAAAGGTTTTTTTTTTTTAAGAACCCTAATGCATATAGAGATACTAGCTATTACTGACCACCAAGGAGTATTTTTAAGGACTTGCTGTGTGATTAACCCCTTTCAGAATAAACTGATCACTTCTAATCTCACCCCCACACCACTAACTCAGGCCTTGGATGCCACCTCCCTCAGCCTCTCCTTCCCTTTGGTTGGGGGGCTTGAGGATATAAAGCACTGAACTCCTCCCAAAGCTTCCCTTAGAGGGCAGAAAGTGGGTGTCCAGCTCAGTGACTGTCCATCTGCAGCTCTGCTTGGTTTCAGCTCCACAGAACTAGGTGCCCCATGCCAAGTACCCCCCCATGTTCCCTCACACCTTTTCCAGCCTCCATTTGTGTGCTGTCTTCCCCATTAAATAGTAAGCTCCTTGAGAGCAGGGGCTGTCTTTTTCTTATTCATATTCCCAGTGCTTAGCACAGTGCCTGGCACGTATGAGGCACCCAATAAATGTTTACTGAAATTGAACCGAACCGCCAGGCCCTGACCTATATGCTAGAAGACAAAGAAAAAGCAAAAGTAGTACGGGCCCTCAAATAGCAGACATGCTAATGCGGGTTGAAAACAAAAATTGGAGAACGCATGAGAAATACAGACTAGATGGAAGGTGACCCCAAGGCTTCTCAGCTCCCCAGAGGGCAGGCAGGCTGCTCAACTTTAGCTCCGACACAATTCAGCAAACATTTACCGTGAGTATTCATGTAGAAGGTCAGGCAAAACTCCCTAACAATTTGGAGCTGTCCACAGGGACAGGGTGCTGAACTATGACCCCTCAGACTATGTCTTGCCTCTGCCACTAAAGTGCTGGGTGAGAGGACCACCAGAGAGTCAAACCAGAGAGTCATCTGCTCCAGTCCAACCCTGACCAGAGTCCCCTCTGCAACACTTTAGAAGTGGACCGCCAGTCTTTGCTTAAACGCCTCCAATTACTTTTCCCAAGGCAGCCTTCTCCATGTTTTTTGTACAGTTCTAACAGGGCAGCTAGGTGATGCAGCAGATAAGGTACCCGGGGTGGGGGAGAGGGGGAGAAGACCCGAGTTCAAATCTAGCCACAGACACTGAGTAGCTGTGTGACCTTGGGCAAGTCACCTCACTCTGTATGCCTCAATTTCCTCATCTCTAAAATGAGCTGGAGAAAGAAATGGCAAACCACTCCAGTATCTTTGCCAAGAAAAACCCAAATGGGGTCACAAAGAGTCAGTACATGACTGAAATGACTCAACAACAACAAAAAACTAAACTGTTTTGAAGGCCGACAGAAATTAAGCTTAGATCAATATCTTATATAACACATGAATACAATACAGCCTCATTGCACTGTTAAGAAATGCATTTAAAGAACTCGGTTAAACTTGGGAAGATTAATGAACTGATGCAGAGAGAAACCGGCAGAACCAGGAGCAAAATGTATACCATGGCCACAACACCGCACAAGAAAGCAGCCTCAACCAGAACACCCATCAATGCAGCACCAAGATGACTTCAAAGGATGATGCTGAGTGTATACGCCTTCTCCTGCCTCTGGGTAGAGACACGGCCGACAAGGGGGTTGAACAGAGGAAGCTGCAGTCAGATGCAGCCAGGGAATAGTAGGTAAATAATTAATAAAATGTTAATAAACACACTGCTTGGCCACTTCCACCTGCCGTTCCTTGGGAAAACTACTTAATCTTTCAGCGAGGTGGCTCAGAGCACTGGCCCAAGAGAAAGGAAGACCAAGCTCAAATTCAGCTTCCAACATTTGTCCTGGGCAAGTCACTTAGTTGCTGTCTGCCTCAGTTTCCTCATCTGTAAAATGGAGCTAATAATAGCACTTACCTCAAGAGCTGACTATTCTAAAGTGATTCCATACCAAGCCCTAAAGAATTTGAGAGCCTTGGTTTTATCAGCATAAACACACATTCTTGCCAGGAGCTGTTCATCTCTACTGTAGTTGTTAGCAACCTACCACAAACTATCACATACATCCATACCTGCTTACATAATGTATTCCCGCCAATGAATTGTAAGCTCTTGGAGGGCAGGAACTGCCTTTCTATACCCAGCACACTGTACCCAACATGCACTCCATCAAGGACTGCAGATTGGATTCGGGTCCAAACACCACGCACCGCCATGATCCACATTAGACCATCAAGTTTTTTAAAACAAACTTAAATTCACTTGAAACATATTTAGTTAAAAAACCTCCTTGACACCATAAATGAGCTTACTGCATGCCAGGTTCCATGTTGAGTTCTCAACCCAGCCCTTGCCCTCACAGGGTCACAGCCTAACAGGGCTGATGATACGTCAGTCACTAGGTCTGTACAAAACACAGACAGAGCAAATGGGAGAGATCTTCAGCCACGGTAAAGCCATCAATGGGCAAGGAGAAACACTGACTGCCTCCATGCCCCACATGGTGCTCTGCTAGAGCTAAATCCAAAATTTAGGGCTTCAGCATCACTTGCGAACTGCGGGATGGACAAAAGGTCAACTTCCAGTACCCAGAGTGAAAACTGCCACCAGCCACTATCTCCAGTCTGCGGTAGTAAGACCTGTGACAAGCTATAAGTCTGGCAGCACAAGGCTTACAGGAAGCCATCTAAAATCCACACAGGATCCCTTTAGCAATGGGGATCACATGGGCGACATCACAAAGAAGCAATCATGGAGGGAGAAATCCAAGGCAAACTCAGCGTCCATCTCTTCTCACTCTCAGGATGAAAGCAGACCGCCAGGTGTGGACCACATTCAAGTCCAGGAGAAGACAGATGCTGTTAAAACTCCCACCAAAGAGAAGCATATACCTCCTCTTCCCTTCACGCTGCCTAGATTTTGTTTTAAAATCTGGGTTAGGGGGCATCTAGGTGGAGCAATGGATAGAGCACCAGCCCTGGAGTCAGGAGGACCTGAGTTCAAATCCAGCCTCAGACACATGATACATACTAGCTGTGTGACCCTGGGCAAGTCACTTAACCCCAATTGCCTTGCCAAAAACAAACAAACTAACAAAAAATCTGGGTTCGTATTCAAAAGGAATGCACACAGCCAGGTGGTACAACGAATAAAGCGTCAGACCTAGGGTCAGGAAGATTCATCTTCCTGAGTTCAAATCCAACCTCAGACTGCTTGTTTTCAGGTGACTGCCAGGTTATCAGGATCCCAAGCACAAAATGTGCTTTTGTGTCTCCTTACTTCAGTGATTGGCTCTCCCAGACAAGGAAAATAATGACGGGAAAAGTGGCAATTAAAGAGAGAAGAAGGGTCAGCGGCTGGGGACACCAAGAACCAGGTCACTGGAGCTAAGGCCAGGAGTAGAAGCGGCGCATCTTCACACTGTAATTACAAGCAGACCTGTTTTACAGAAAATCTCACCACAAGGCTCCTTAAAATATTGCTCTCTGCTCATACAAATTAAATGAGATACCGTTTGGCAAACAAGTTTGCAGGAGCCCATTCGGGTTGTGGCGAGTTTTCTGCTGGGCAAAGGAAATGCATTAGATTCTATGATTTACAAACAACCACCATGATAAAAATGATGATGATGACAGCTCATATTTACAGAGCATTTAAGGTCTTCAAAGTGCTTTCAAACAATCTTTTGAAATAAAATATCAAGGTACAAACTGAGCTGATCACTGACTGATGGACTGGTCCCATTGACAAGAGGGTGAGAAATGCTTCTCAAGACTTAGTGGGCTTGGAAGAAGGATAGAAGGGAGGAGGGAGAAGATGGCTCCAACAGAGGGCTCAGTGCAAGGACAGTCTTTCCCCTTTAACCTGGAGGACATACTTCCCAGAAAGTCAAAAGCAGAAAGAAAGGCCCCACCTCTACCCAGGATTTCATAACAGGGGTGGCAAAGAACAGCAAATCAAGTCTGCATCCATTAGTCAACATGCACTGATTAAGTGCTTAAAATACATGGAAGTGCTAGGAATACAAGTAGAAGGAAAGACAGTCCCTGCCCCCAGGGAGCTCCCATTCTAATGGATGGTGAAAGGTGGGAAGGGATGAGTTTGGAGAGACCAGGGCATCCAACATGAGAGCCTGGTAGAAGAAGGGGAGACGTGGAAGGCCCGGGTACTCCCCCTTCCATGGAAGCTCCAGGATGAGCCATTCAATCAGAGGGAGAGGACAAAAGGACAGAAGACACAGCCAATGGGTGGATTCCAGGACTGGAGTGAGGGGTTGGGAAGAAGGGCTAGGGCAGGGTAGAAATCTGGGGTGCAGCTGGGAGGTGAAGGGCTGAAAAAACAGGGGCAAATGGATAAAAAAATAACAGAAAATGGTTTTGTCCTGGAGTAAAGGATGAGAGAACTTTAAAAGTCACCTTGATGCCAACTGACATAAACAAAATCAGAACATAAATAATGATTTCAATTATGCAAATGAAAAGAAACCAATTTTGATGCTAGAGGAGAGATGAGGAAATGTACCTCCCTCCTCCCAGAAAAGAGGTGGGAGCCTGCTGGTGCCAAATGGCACACACAGTCACAAACTATCACACTGCATCAACTAGTTTAATTTAACTGTTTTATTGGGTTACAAGGGAGGGCT